CCCAGCCCAAATACGACCCCTCCCCTCCTATTGGGGATTCCCCAACAACGATGTGCCCTGGGTGTTGAACTCTGGGAGAATGAGAAAACACGTTCGGACATCGTTCAGAGGAGTACGAGTTCTCGTTGACGCGTCTGGGAACGTCTTGAGACGTTTCTCTAGCCTCGATACTTCTGACCATGAGCCAATTCCAAACAAACTGGGAAGTCCTGAAACGTATCGACAGAGAACGGTTGGACGAGTTTACTTCTGGCGCTATGCCAAGTCCTCATGAAGACATCGTCCTCCGTTGGCTGTAGCTGAATTTTCGTATAAGAGGCGCGTCTTCTGACCAGAAGCGACTTGCTAATTTCCCTCTAGAGCACTTTTAGCAATACGAGACGTCACAAATTTCCCGCTTAGGCGGATGGGCTTCCCTTTCTGTTACTCGCCCAATCAAACCATCTTGTCGAAGGTCCTTAGTGGGAACGTCTTGAGAACCTTTTTCAGAAGAACATGAGATTAAATTAGTTTAGATGAAACCAGTTAAAACTTGCTGATTTGATTTTTCGGCGCAGTTCGGCGACGGGGGGCATTTTACACATTCGCCGCTTCACTAACGGTTCACAAGTTCCACTCGTGAAACCCGTTAACCTTGAGAAGGTGGAGCAGACTCTTCAAGTTGTGGTGAAACCTGCAAACTCGAGAAGAGGCTGTCTAGATGGGTCGACAGGTCGATGGAAAGTAGCAATGGTGTAAAATGCCCCGCGTCCCGTCGTCGAACTGCCCCATTTTTTTCGAGTATTTGAAAGAGAAATGTTCACGGTAATAATAAGACGAACCACAAGCCCGATGGCCGTCTGAAGGGAATTGGTTCGATCTAGGCAATCCAGACAGTTCACTCGCAAGACTCCCGTTTGCTGGCTATAAAAATAAAATGAATGGCACTTTTGAATAAAACCACAAAAATAACGAAAAAAGGTCCCGAACAGTACTGATGCTGGATGACTCCTACCTCTTCACGCTTCCATCGGATGCCAAAAAGACCGCGTTGCTCATAATAATCGGAACAAGTTTCTTGATAAGGTGAGTGAGAGAGTCCTTCGAGATTTTCATTTGATAGTGATAGTCGAAATCGATGAATTCGATTGAATCAGCCAATTTTGAGATCTTGTGTTGCGTCTGGAAAAATGTTTCACAATCAGATATAGTAATAACCGCCCTGTGGTGGAACTGAAACCTAATCAGAACGTTTAACTGTGCTGAAACTAGACAATGGCTGGAGACGTACCCGGAAAGCATCAGCAAGAACTCGTTCTCCCTCTTTTCTGCCTAGAAGGTTGACGACCGTAACTTTCCCATACATCGACACTAGCCGTGACATATGTCTGAAGAAATCAAGACGAGTACTTCGCTACCATTCATTTCATCATTATCATCTCTTGTGACTATAAAATTACCTATGGTACGCCGGGCCGCTTGCTTCGAAGGCTCTCAATTTCACCTTGTGGGAGCCCACTTGAACTCCAGGCTGCTCCCAGAATAGTGGAACAGATCCACGGACTTGCACTAGTGAGCATTCGCCTTCGTCGAACACAAGAACCTAAAGTACAATGTGAGTGACCAAAACGAGGTTTACACTTTGCGGTACCTGCTCTGTTTCCACGAAGTTTGCGACACATCCAAGAGAGTTTGCGCCACGCACATTGAACCGCGTGCCTACTCGTTCGCAACTGAGTCGAGATAGTAGAGCGACTCGGCCCGTTCGGTGGCCCACATAAACTGTACGCACCAGAACAGAACTGAAATGCTGATGAGAAGATAGCATAGTTGTCCTCAGAATAAAAATAATCTCGAATTTCGAATAAATGAGAAAATTTCCAAGCATTTTAATCTAAACAGGACAGGTTTTTGCTGACAATGGTTCCTTTCCAGGCTCCCTCACTGTTTATTTTCCATCTATGCCAGCGACTGGGGGCAAACCTGACAATAATAAGGCTATCCTACACCTTTTGTCTTTACATCACTCTTAATTTTTGATGTCCCCCTACCTTTCACAGAGCCCTCGAGAAAAAATTTGGAACTCACCCTGCAATGCATTTAAGCAGCCATTGGCAACTGTCTATACCGAACCTTTCAAAAGGAAAATGCAGCCTTCTGTTCCTGTAATAAAGCCTTATTATTACAACTCTTCTTAGGAACACTTTGGAAGGTAGCTGGTAGGAACGAAAATAGTGAAAATAGAGTATCGGAAAGAAGTGCTCACCAGAAAAACCGTGCGTCGCTGCCTTTACCGGCAGAACGCCGCTGAGCACACGAGGTTATATCGTATCGCGGATTCGAAGAGTAATAAAATATACCCGAAGAAAGCAATCGTTGTAACTGAAAAGTATTGCTAACTCACAAAGAACATTAACAAAGACTTCAATAAACTCGTCTAGAGCAAGAGAAGTAAAGTAAAGCAAGGGCGCCTTAATCGTTAAAGCAAGAGAAGTAAAGTAAAGCAAAAGCGCCTTAAAGGCACAGTTCGCGACCGCAAATTGCGGGAAACGGAACTCAAATAGGCACAAAAAAGTGCTAAGTATCTGATTAGCGGAGAAAAGCAGCAGAAAAAGCAGTCCGAAATGTTATAGAGAGATAACATAGTGGCTACTAGCTAGTAGCTAGCAGCCGGTGAGGGTCGGCATGGGCCTAAGGGGTGTCCATGGGCCTAATTAGTCAGCTTCTAGCGGAGTTCTTGCCGTTTTTCACATTTTGAAAGTAGCGCAGCCTCAAAAATCGCCTTCCGGATCGTCCGACACATTTGAGAGGTCATAGCCTTATTTTATCGCGGAATGTGCCTTTAAATCTGAAACGCCAACCCCACAACTGGGCAGAAATTGATGATAATCTTCATATATAGAATTCTATGAGAACTCTGAGCATTCTGTCTCAATCATGACCATATAAGCGCCCGATTTAGAAAAAGTTACGAAAAGGCAGAACAACCTTCTTTGTGCCAGTCGGGATAACAACTAGCAGCCTATAATCTTATTTATTGTGACAGTCCCTCACTTTTCAACCACCCCAATTGCGCGACGTGATGGTGCCACTTGTCCCAAACGTTTGTTCGGGGTGAATGCCAGCTTTTCGAGTCTTGTCTCCAGGTGTTGAGTCTTCCAAGCTTATCGAGCCAGCGCTGTCTGAGACAGTCTTTCTATGAGTAGTATTGCTATGGCCTTCTTGAAGGTTTTTCAGTTTGGAAGGTCTTTAGTTCAACGCTGAAAAACTCAAAGAGATCCTTGTCTATGACTTCTCGAAGTGGAGGGCAGAGCTTACGCACGATCCCAGTCTTTAAGCGGAATACATGGCCGTACAACAGAAGCCCCTTTCCTCGCATTTTGTCGACCGTAGGATTTATATAAGTTTCCGGCGGATGACATCGTTACGAATGCGGTTTAACACCTTCCGGACCGCGTGACACACATGGTGTGTCACGAATTTGTCTCTGTGCAGTGTTTTATTCGATCAATTTGACATGTCTTTCATGTTCTAATGTTGCCAAAACACGTTCCGTGTTACGGAAGGTCTATTCTTCATGAACGATTGAAAAGAGGTAGGCGATTACTGATGAAACTCATGAAAAATGATGAAATGATCGGAAGATGCACGCTGTACGGCGGTTCGCAATATCTTAAACGCACAACGGGGTCACCCCTACCCTCCAGCGCAGCATTTTCAACACACTGAAGCTGGCTTCAACTTGAGAGCTCAGAGTGTTTTCGATTTCAGACGCTCTGACGTTTTTTGTCGCGGAAATCTCAGTCATGGATTACTACTTAACCATGCTGTACACAACATGCGCTTACATCCGAATTCCCACCCCGCCATCAGGTAAATACCAATTCAAAATATTCGAATGTTTTTGTAGGCCTGAGCTCAATGTCATAAGTTGAATAGGTTTTCGAGAAAATACTCGGTTTTTTTTCTGTTACCTATACTCGGTTTTTTGAACGTAAACTTCACCACCGCCCAAGCTCTTCAGCGCCTCTCTCGAGAACGTCATGCGTCAACTGGAATGGGAAGACATGGGAGTGAAGATCGACGGTCGGCAACTACACCATCTCCGCTTTGCTGACGACATCGTTTTGATAACACCAAA